TAATAACTTCTTTTGGCTTTTTTTTACCCAGATATTGAGGAAGAATAAAAAACTTTGTTGTGATCACACTTAATGCTTCTATGCTGGAAGGATACCAAGTCTTCCTTCACATAGAGACAATTTTTCATTTTCTCAAAAACTTCAGCAAGTATGAATCATCCATTGTTGCATTAATGGCATTTTTCTTTTACCTACTTCTCATTTTTAAAAGAAAAAAAGACCACCCCTGATTAGACATGTGCAATTGATACACAATTCACAACTGTTTTCCACATTAGGACGTGTAGGTGAGGAGTGAATTGTGACATGGCAGACCGACAAGGGATTATCTGTAAGTGTACAGAGATAATCTATCCCTGTCATGGCTAGACGTTACTTTTCAACCATCCATTATTCATTTCAGGCTTTCTACACCAAAAGTCAACAAGGTTGAAGAAAGGTGAGAGGTGAAATTCAAATCTGGTCAACTCTCCCAACCATGTTTGTTATTCAATTTTGAAAAGATTAAATTGACGAAGACAATTGTTAAAACATTCTTAACAAATCTCACAATTAAATCTTTAATACACTTTTAATGACTAATTATCATTTAGATTTGCGCTATGTTTTAAATTGTACAATGTTTTACTGCTGCACATCTCACTGCTTGAGATACTAACACATGCCAAGTTCTTTAACCTGAATCACCAGAAAAACATAACAATTCTGATGAAGCTCTCTTTACCATCATTTGCAGATATACAGATAAAGCAGGAAAAAGTATAAAAAAAAAAAAGTGGCCAAAGTGATGCGGTTGGATCAATCATTTTTAAAATAAAAACTCTTTCAGATGGGACTACTGGACCAAACCACTGTCCACAATATAGATAAAGGGCAAGTTCTTTAGACCAAACATTTATATGTAGATTTAATAAGAATGAACTATAACTCACTGAATGTTCAAATGCTTTTCTTTGATAATGAAGAAGGGGGAGTCCATCTTCAGAAGAAAATTATAAAGGAGCACGATATCTGACCTATTGAGGTTACCAATCCCTTACATAATCACTGAACCTTACCCTGCTTATACATCTTGACACTTACTTTTTACTGGGCCTCAACAATGCAATACATAGAGTATCACTTAAGTTCATTTAGAATTGTAGTGTCAATATTCAATCAATAGACAACTACTTTACTATACATACCAAATCAACAGTCAATTCAGAGATTTCACTTCATGTTGAATGGTTATCAATTTTAATAGAGAGGCCAAGATATTTAATGATAAGTAAGAATGTATGACTTATATAGTTATGTATCCATGCACAATACACAAGGATATGATCCTTTTGAAAATTTTTGACAACTGATTTAAAAGTAGATCTAGATCTTTTGCTTCATTTTCTTTCTGTCGTTACTACTCTAGCCATTTGAAGATTATATAGATTCTGTAAATAATAATAGAAAATCTGTAGACACCAATATTAGAATCTATAGATTATAACATATGAGTCCATAGGTTGTAGATTATAACATAAGAATTTGAAGATTGTAGATTATAACATAAGAGTCTGTAGATTGTAGATTATAATATGAGAATCTGCAAATTGTAGATTATAACCTAAGAATCTATAGGTTGTAGATTATAACTGTGTTTCCACTGACATAAAATATGTAGATTGTAGATTATAACATGAGAATCTGAAACTATTATAAACCAAGAAATAATTACTAGTAATTCATTCTTAATAAATAAACAACATGAAAGTGTACAAGTATTTTTCATCAAGGTAAATCAATTACATAAGTTAATAAGAATTCATAATACTCTATACTGTTTAAAATTCTATCAAACTATCAGATTACATAGTTCCTGGCAATTCAAACTTCAACCTTAGACCAGGTGCACAACAGATAAAAACAATTTTAAATTGCAATCAGCTTTTCATATCTTATCTCTAGACTTTCAATTTTAAAGGTAATCTAAGAAAGTATGCACAATTTCAAAGACATTAATAAATCATCCTTGAAACTCCTTATATTACAGCTATTTTTTTACAGCTCCTTAAAGGAGTTCTTCCTCTTAGAATAAATCTAAAAATTAAACTTTGATCAAGCTTAGCTAATAAGAGTATTTATGCATACCTAGTGTTATATCCATACAACAGAATCCCTGTTTAAATCAATAAAACTAAGTACTTAATCTAAAACCCTTAAAGTATTTTAAGGCTCAACTGAACTGATTTTTAGCTGCTCATGAAGTTTTTCAGATATAATCCTATTGTAGAGTGATAAATTGCAGGATGCATGCTAATCTAACTAATTATCACTATTATATCCCATGGCAAAAACAATAACTACCAGGCAGTTGCAATCGGTCAGAAAAAAATCATATCAGTTTATTTGACCAATAGAAAACATACGTGGAATCAAGGGGATTCCACATAATTTCAAACATATAAGCTTGCATGCACATTTTCATGCTAAATACCTCATCTCCAATTTCAAATGGACCTTCAATGCCTTGACCATGTTCAGCTAACTCTATCCAATAGAAACCATGAGTTGACATCCTCAAAACATCATGGCTTTAAATCAGATAACAAATTCTGTAAAATCAGTGAAAATTTTATTGTATCAAAATGAACTTTGATTTGGTGTTATTAGAAGAAATGAGACAATGCACCTTAAAAAAGAATAATTCTATGAATCCATGAACAAACTCTAATATAGCTATTAATAAATATATAGTCTTTTAATTTCTTAAAAAAAAACTTCGAATTTGGCGAAAGAAATATATTGAATATTATAAAATTACACACCTGTAAACATAAAATATCCTGAACATTTGAAAAACAACACAATATGTCTTTACAAGAACAGAGAAAAAGAGGTAGAACTTATTGCATTGTTGCCAAGTTCTTCATATATCCATTCACAAAGAATTATCACATCAAAGTGTAGGCATAAGAGTATTAAACTATCAATGTAAGAACTGTAAAGGTAAAACCATCATAAACTACACCATGCTGACTGACTGAACTTCCATATTCCTGAGGCGTCTGCCAATTTAAGACAGAAGTAAAAAGACTAGTTATTACCATCTGGCTGATATAGAACCCTGCCTGACTAGTCTGTAACAGATGTTATTGTATGTTTTTAATACTGAACAGTCTATCTACTACAGGCATCAATCATACTGGCACCAAGAACTAATTTGATCTTTCTGTTAGAGTACACATTACATAATGTCTGCAAATGCATTACCTTTTTAACTGAATGAATGAATCATATCTACAGATGCAATACCAATAGATAAATAGATAGATGAATAAATGAATGAATGAATGCAATACCTTTTTGAATGAATTTATGAAATGTTCTTTTCTATGGGTTGATTTTTTATCTGAACATTCTCTTCACAGAAAACAAAATATGCATTGGCATTAATATTGTCTGAAATTGTCAGATTCAGATTTTAGAACTAAGTCAGAGTTCTATAGGTAACTTAGTGGGAGTTCAATAGGTAACTAAGTCAGAGTTCTATAGGTAACTTAGTGAGAGTTCTATAGGTAACTTAGTGAGAGTTCTATAGGTAACTTAGTGGGAATTCAATAGGTAACTAAGTCAGAGTTCTATAGGTAACTTAGTGAGAGTTCTATAGGTAACTTAGTGAGAGTTCTATAGGTAACTTAGTGGGCGTTCTATAGGTAACTAAGTCAGAGGTCTATAGGTATCAGAGTTCTATAAGACACTACATCAGAGTTTTATAAGTAACGTCAGAGTTCTATTAGAAACTAAGTCAGAGTTCTATAGGTACTATTAGGACCTGAAGAATAAGTGTGAATGATCTTTTCATGGTTACTTTTGACCAAATACTAGGTTTTGCTCAGTATTGAGTGTGACATTGAAGGTTGAATTTCATGATTTTACAAGGAATTTTCCAACAGAATTCAGAAAAAATAAAAAGGTATACAGTACATATCCAGTAACACCATCCACATGTTAAAGCCCAAAAAATGACAAAGCAATAATATAGGTATGAAATGAGTCCATTAGCTTCCCAGGATAATTCAAGATGGAAAGAGTAAAGAATTGTGGACCAGGTCAAAACTCTCACCATCATAGCATAGCAACTTTACAAAAATCAGTACAAATAAAATAATCACACTAAAAATTAACATCATTAGTGGAATTTGTTTTTAAAAGTATTAGCCAATTCAAAGTCATTTCTGATAATGAATTGCAAAGAAATATAGTCTTCAAGTTTCTGTCTTCAAAATGGAGTAATTGTAAAATGTAAGCAGAAGTGGGCTCACCTCATGGACAAAGTCAATTTTCAGGTTAGTTTGAAAAAATGACTTGTAAATACTGTGTGCAGAATTAAAAGAAATAAACATCACTTCCTTTCCTGGATAGTTGATGACATCTTCTTATGTCAAAGGTCAAATTCAAAGGATGAGGTCCCTCAAAAGAGTTCACAGCATTAATCTGATAAGGGGTAAACTTGATTGCTATTTTTTGAGTCTCTCTCATTTTTTATTCATAAATATCATTTTGAAATATATCAGAAGACAAATCTTTTATTCACCAGGAAGACTGAGCTAGTCAATATTTATAATAATATCACTCAGCACGAATTCTTTATCAACTTACTTCATGTGAACACAACTAAGTGAGCTTAATTCAAATTTTGTAAACAAAGTATGACATAGACATGAGCTGTGTTCTATCCAGTAACTGTCAATTTGAACATTGTTTAATGGTTTATTGTTCATAGTTTACAAATACAAGGACTGCTCAGTAAAATAACTAATTGTGATCTCTGCTCCCATTTCAGAACAAAAAGTCACTACAGACTGATCTCAACTTCATATGAATTTCACAATGCCAATGTGGAATAGTTAAAGATATATATAGCTCTATAGATCATAAGATTATGTCTTGTGAAACTAACAAAACTGCTTTTAGTGGTAAGTACCTCTTTTTGTCTAGATGGAGTTATGTCCCTTTCTATTTTAATTGCCAGGTGATAACATATTTAAATATCTCTTCTTAGAGTTGGAGTTCTAAAATTAAAGAGAGAGTATTCTACATTATGTTATATATTTGGCAATTTTTTTTAATGAATTCTTAATTTTCTTGTTTTCAAAGGTGATTAGTCAAGCCTTATATTTCTAGCACTAAATATGACAAAGTTAATTCAGAAATCCATAACCATGCTGTAAATCATTAAATTTTTCCTTAAACTTTGTTAACGAATGAGAAATTATGATGCCACTGCTAGTGCTTCTGAAAGACATAACTTTGAACTAAAGGTAACTAAATGGAAGTTCTATAGGTTACTATAGGTTACTATAAGTAACTAAGTGAGAGTTCTATAGGTAACTAAGTCAGGAGTTACTATTTACTGTCAAAATTACATGCTAAGGTTAATGCAAGATGTAATATTCAGGTACTTCAAAAGATATTTAATCCAGTAGAATGTAAAATTCTCTTTTTTAAGGATCGTAATAACTAAAGATCATTATATAAATAGGTTTTTTATTGGTAACATAGTTATTTTATGATCATAACATGGTGAATTTATCAGTTGTTATGTACTATTGCATATTCGTGTTTTCTATTTCTTTTGATTACTTTGTCAATGCTAAGTCGATTTCTATGTATTATCAATAGTTGGACTTGTTTCAAAATCTTTTTATCGACAGCAGTCATTGAATTCTGTATTATACTTCAAGGAATTATGAATTCCTGCTTGACAACTGTTTCTTTTTAATTAAAATATATCAATTTCAAAGATTAGAAAAAAAAAGCATGTAATGTAGGTTGTTCAAACATAGTGTGTAATAAAACTAAGGAGTAGTATACCATTGTGTAGTATAAAATTGTGCCCTTATACCCCTAAATGTCGCTAAAGGATTAAAAATATCTTGGATTTGACCAAAATTTTTTCAAATATTTCACTTGACTCAAAGACAATCTAAGACAGATTTTTAACACAAGAAAATTTCGATATAAAATTTTGAAACAGTGATCAGATTTTGAAAGTTCTAATAGCTAAAAAATGACAAATAACTAAAAGTATCTTACCTCTTGAATGTTTCCAGTTTGTTGTAAAATATCAGGTGGACTTGGTTCATTGTCTTCAAGTTTAGGATTTTCAATCTTCTCAGCTATCAATCCTAATTTACTAGATTCATTGTCTGGTGACAGGAGAGATTTTAAAGACACACTTTCATCATCAGACACAAAATTCTCACTTAAAGCCAATTCTGCTATTTTCAATTTCTTCAGATTGCATTCTGCCAATTTTTTTGATTCTGCTAATATTTTGCGAAGTTCTTTATCATACTGATCCTTCATTTTTAAAAACTCTTTATCCTTGCGCCGATTTTCTTTACATTTTCTCCCATATTTTTCCTCTAATTTTAATTTTTCATCTTTCAATCTTTGTATTTCTTCTTCCATTTTTCTTAAGAGAATTGACTGGTCTTCCGTTTTCTCTAAAATGTTAGAGGCAGTATCTCGACCGTCTGTTGTAGACATACTTATATTGAGTCTGCTGCTTACTGATTCGCTGCAGGACAGTTCATCTTGTGACATGGAAGCACGTAGTTGTTTGATTTCATCATCTTTATATTTCAATACTTTTTGAAGTTCTTCATCCTTTTCTTTCTCAAGTTCAGATTTGATTTTATGAACTAGTTTTTTGTTTTCCTTTTTCAATTTATCCTCTAATGAAATCAATTCTTTTTTTCTTTCCTGTTCATAATTTTCTTTCCATTTTCTCAACTCATCTTTTTCTTTTTGCATTTCACGATTTTTGACTTTCTCAATTTCCAACTCATTACGTAATTTTGACCAGTTCGTTTTGGACTCATTTTCAAGTTTAGCCAATTTGCGTCTGGATTCATGTCTGCTGCGAGATGATTGATGATGATGATGATGATGGCGTGGACCTTCAGATCTAGCACTCAAGGGACTGGATGATCGGCTGATTTCATTTAGATCCCAATCAAAATCGTCTCGAAGACTTGTGTGACTGTCATTGATATAGCGTCTGGTAAGAAACGTCTCCATTTTCTAACTTCAACACAAAAGATTTTTTTCTAGTTATATATATAATAGCAACAAATACCACATGTTAGTTTCTCACACAAATTCTTTTTTCTCAATTGAAAGAATAAATTTCGTACACTTGAAGAGGCACTAATGGGTAAAATTTGGACAAAAGTTAGTCATTCTGTGATAAATCAAGCTCATACTATATTATTTTGATCCCACTGCTTCAACATGTACACCAAGCGGCATAATAAAGGGGGGCATACCCATTGATCTAGACTATATTATACTTAGTTAGTTGATCAAGTGATTTTTAATTGATGTCCTCTATACATTCATAGTTCATGGGTCACAGATTCACAATAGTATATTGTACTCTATGTATTATTTTTGAGTATTAATGGAGAATAAATAATACATCTATTTATTTGAATGGGTGGTCTTGTTGGTATACATGTCAATATACATTTATATTGTTGTGAAGTAATTAAATGGCATGCCGTACAGAAAATCAACCAATCCCCAAAAATGTCTGTCAAAGAATGTGCCAGTTCTTCAATTTAGTTCTACAATCTTGTCAAATGTTGAAGACCAAAGAAATGGTAAAATGATGCTCTCCATAAAAATCTTGTCAAATAATGTGCTTCATGAATATCTTTTTCAAATTCTTGTCAAATGATGTGCTCCATAAAATCTTGTCAAATAATGTGCTCTATACAATTCAAATAAAGTAGTCCATAAAAAAATCTTGTCAAATGACTAAAGTTCTACAATTCTCGAAAGATGATGTGCACAATAAAAATCTTGTCAATTGATGTGCTCTATAAAAAATCTTGTCAAATGATGTGCTCTATAAAAAATCTTGTCAAATGATGTGCTCCATAAATATCTTGTCAATTGATGTGCCCCATAAAAAATCTTGTCAACTGATGTGCTCCATATAAAGCTTGTCAAATGATATGCTCCATCTGAGGAGTAATCCTTATAAGTGTTGGATTTTGTTCTTCTCAAACAGCAACTATTCAAGTTATCTTAAAATCAAGATGAGCTTTTGTCAATTACATTTCACCTATTTTAATCTACTGAAATCCAAAAGCTTGAAGAAATGTGGCCAGTGAGATAAATTTGGTGTATCCTTCTAAAACATCTGATATTCATCTGTAATTCTGTATCAAAATCTTTTTCACTCACTCTTTCACATTTCCCAAATACTTTTGTATCCCCTTTGCAGATTGACTTCAAAGATCTGAAATACAAATTAAAAAATTTGGATTAGATTTAAAAACCTATTCTGTTCTTTCTTGGAACCAACTTATTCATATTCACAACCAGCCTTCGTTTTGCTAATACTAGGTTGGAATTCTCCTCTAGGTAATAAGTAACATGCCAAGGCCAGTGCTCCTCTAAAAAACGGTCAGGTGTCTAAAAACGTTCTAGAAAGAACCCGTATTAGTTAGAATCTCCATTCAAAATACTATAAAAACTGGTCATAAAATGCACAAGCCAAATAAGACAGTCAAATATCGGCAAAATGAAAGTCCTTCTAGTAATTCAAATCATGTAAAATATTAGTAAAATCAATATTTGAATTTTGATAAGCCACCAATCTGTATTCAAGTTGAGACCTATTTGACATGACTATTCAGAAGTTTAGAGTTTGTATTGTTTTGGGTAGTGACAGTAGGTTGTAATGTAATATAATATATTATTATATGAATATAATGCTAGGTGATAAAAAGGCTTCTATATTTCTGACCTTATTTCTCTACATAGAGTATTATTTAATACTTTGATTTATTATATATGGCTATTTTATTGACATTTTTATTATAAAGCTTTATAAAGATTTTTATAATTTATCTATAGGTCAATTATACATAATCATATTTACATTTAAAGGGAGTGTTAAGAGGTTTTCATAAAAAAAAAAAACAGTTTTATGTGTATTGGGAACACTGATAGAATCAATTAGCACAATTCTTATTTTTAATCAGAATTTGTCAGAATGCATAATTGTAGTTTGCAACTAGGGGTATATTGATGGAGCTACCTCATGCTGAATCTCAACCTTGACAGTTGAAGGCCTTCCCTTCCCCCCATTAAGTTCCCTATTTGTATCCCCAGCCACTGTGAAAGAGCCTGTCTAAGATCACTTCTTTCAAAATTTAAGTTGGCATTATTATGCAAGCCAATCAAAATATCTGTCCTTATGAAGGCAAAAAGCACATATCAAAGCATGAACACCTAAAAATTGGTTAAATGTTATTAAACTAAAGTTACAGCTATAGAAAAGTTACAAATTCATACAGAGTTTATAACAATTCAAAAAATTATTAAAAACTTACTGAAGAACCTCTTCTCGGACCAAAGTGTCCAAAGCGAAACAAAAATTTGTCAATGTTTACTTTATGGAAACATGTACCTGCAAGCTTAAAAACTTTACCCAACAGCACGTGTCGACATATCTTCCTTTTGGTGTAATATTTACCGTGTTAAAGGTGATTTATCATCACGATGTGGAACTGACAGGTGGGTTGGAATGTATCTGGGCAAAGGATAAACAATGTTCAACTCACCTTACGGGATCTGTTAATCTTCTATTGTTATTTTTTAGGATTAACCGTTAATTCCCATGAATATCAAACGGTTTAAAGGCAAATCTTGGAGTTTTCCCAAGTTATAAAGTCACGATTGTCATGACATATTTTGATTTATGCATTGCATCAAAGAGTAAGTGACAATCGAGGCTATTTCGTTACCCTTTGAAGTCACGTGATGTACACATCCTTTTCACCTGTAACTTTGACAGATAAACTACAGACGGTGCAGGACATATAGAACGTAAAGTTATATTTTAAGTTTGAAACAAAAATCGTGCAATTTAAGTCTGCAATTTTTTACCAAGCAAAACTGCCCTTCTCCATCAAAGTCCTTGCTATCACTTAGGGAGTTGACTACATACATAGGCTTATTAATTTGATCTCAAGTTGACCTTGTCAGTGATGCAAATCTGAAGGGATGCCATTGAACACACATCACATATTCATCACATATTCGAAAAATATAGACTGTTCATGTGTATTTAAGAAAAAAAAATAGATAGACTTCTTTGTGATAGGATTTATTTGGCTAGAACCTGATACAAAATCAGTTTTAAACAGACAAAATACTAAACCAAAATCTAGCAAATCTACATTCTCCATTTTATTAAAATTGAATTGGGTCAATTTCTCAAAAACTGAACTGAATTAAATCAACAATTACACAAAAACTGAAATCTGAAGTTTATTTGTTGATAAATCGAATTGATGGACAAGTCAAGTTTTTGAAAACCTGACGCCAGACTGCTACTAAAATCATTTCATGGTACATGTATTTGAAAGACATGACATATAATGTTTGAGATCGGTGTTTCAGACTACCTGTAATGTTCGTGAACGATGATGCGAATGACTCGACTGAACACGAAACATTACTAGGTTGTCCAAGACAACGAAAGTGGACTTCCGCCTGCTCGACACTGCCACATCATCATTTGTCATCGCCATGTTGTCATCGTTCATGTTCATGGAACAAATATTTTAGGAACATCGCGTCTCATCGCACTATAACATATTTCACTATGATAATTGTACAATTTATGAAATAATTGTAACTCACTATAAAGGATATGAAACTAACCATGTCTTCTATACAGCTTTTTGGGAGTGAAAGGCTTAAGAACTGGAATAAAATACTTTTGCCACACTTCAATAAGAGTATTTTTCTGATCATTTTGCTATGTCTGCTCGTACTGATGTGTATATCCTTTAAAGTCTGCTTTTATTTCAATACATATATGTTTTGATATCATTTTTACACACTATGGCACAGCTTTCTAAATATTGAAAATACTTCCCTTCCAGTTTTTTGCAGTGACAGTACCATCCATAGCCAATGAGGAATTTTTGTTCAATGAAAATAAAACAAAGCACTATATGTTAATTCAATTTTAAGCGTCTCAAATTGATCAGAAAATGTTTGGGTAATTTGGCAGATACCATTAAATTTTGTCCATTTTGAAATTCTGGAATCACTATACTCTTGGCATGAAGGTGCATTGGAACATGGCGTACTTTACTCGCTCTGATACCAAGTGATGTCAGCATATCAGGTGGTAATCGCTGAAACAAGATAGAAAATTCATAATTAAAGGGACACAAATATCAAGGGATTCTTTATCAGGCTGGGTGAATAATCGATTATTGTTGTTATAAATTTCAAATTTCAATTATCAAATTCCATAACCGATTGAATGTCACAGTTAAATTTTCTCCAGTGTACCACTTAACAATTAAGTAAAATCTTTATCATGTAAAATACATAGTTTCATTTGGCTTAAGTATATCTCAGATGTGGATAGCATCATTTAAAACTGAATCCTAAATAAAACTATTACCAACCTGTGGGGCTAGTTTACTAAAATGAGAATATTTATGGTCTCCTAATATTGGTGTATTTAACCCAAAACCAAGATGGCATCTTATTTGATGTTTGATACCTGAAATTGTTAGAGATATAAAAAAACTGCAAGCTTTAATACTAGTGATTGTAAAGAGGATGTCTAGCTTTTTTATATGTATTGGGGCCAATTATTGCTTCTATTTGCATCATTCTAACTTCTTGCCAAACATCTCAAAAATAAGACTTCACAAAACTCCCAGTTTCAGTAAAGAACCACAGATGTCTGACTGCAAATTGGAATGGTGTGAATAGATGCTATCAGTGTCCACAATTCACATAAAAGGTTTCAAAAACATCTGAACTTCCAGATCAGCTGTCCTAATACATCTTTACATCCGAAGCTTGGCAAAATTTTTCCATTGAGTATCAACATTCACAACACAAATCCTAGATGCCACTTCAACTCAGTTGATATTTCTGAAACAATTCATACTGACCAGAAATGGGTTGACATTCTATCAATGCAGCTGACTGATGATGTTTGAATACTTTATACTGTGTAATAGCATCCTGAGCTTCCTCTACATTTCTCTTCTTCATAACTTCCCAATATTTCTTATTATATTCTGGCTTTAATATCATCTATAAGATTGTAGTTCATGTTTATGTCCCTTTAGCAATTGGTGATGCCAATATACACTACACATTTCATGTGGGTGTAAAATAATGGTAAATTACTAAAAATTTTGTTAATATTGTAAATGTAAAAAATTATCTTTATTCTTTTTAGAATAAAATTTGATATCTCTACAACATGTAATCAGCATATAAATAAGATAAAATAATTAAAAACTTCAACTTACTCTATGTATACCATTTGGTAATGAACCTTCTGTTATTGGTATTTTTATTACACCTATAATATCAAAATAAAAACTTTTTTCAGTTCAGAACTTTCTCTTATGTGACAAAACAATTTTTTTTTTAAGAAATACTTGAAACATTAATTGTAATTTTAGCTATAACAGCTGAGATAAATTACTGCATATCATTTTTTAGAATGACCCAAGTAAGATAACAAGCAACAATTATGACAAACAAGTCAAAAATTTTACCTTCTAAAGGATCAGGAATACCTTTTGTTATTACCCAATACTTCTTGACTACTTTTCTTTTAACAAAATATTCTCTCAACTCTTCTGCTACTGCAGCTCGCCTAAAATAAGACATGGATATGAATTAATATAATCTATCAATGAATAAGTAATTCATGGGCAACAACTCTGAATACCGTATAATAAAAGGTTGTAAACTGCGTATTTGTATGTCACTATCACAAAGGGCCTAAGATATCATTAACAGCTTTTATGATAGTGACGTCATAAAAGTTAGTTTTAAAAGTGGAATTACTAACCCAAAATAGAAATGGTGCAAACTGATTGGGATTCAGTGGTTCTTAATACCAATAAAAGTGAAGAAACCCTTATTATTATCCCTTTAAGACACTCTTGAGATCTTGCCACAAAACGTAAGACCTAATGACTACTTACTTGGCTAACAACATAACACCAGTAGTTTCTTTATCTAGTCTATGAATAAGATGAAGTGTCTGTAAACTGTTATCACGATCATTGAGTGATTCAGCTAACTGATGTAATAAACCACCAACACTAAATTTCACTCCTGGTCCACCTACAATTATTAAAATTCAAGATGGCAGTTTTATCAAAAGACTTCTCTGGCAATTATAACATTAGACACTTAAAAAAGTTTTCCTGCATAATGAAGATTGGTAAAGTAAGAAGATAAACTGAACAAAAAGAAATTCATTATTTCCAATTATGCATTTGATATTCCTGCAACGCCACTTTGTTGTTGTAGTTGTACACTGATGAATTCCTTCTTTGTCAGATCAAATCCCCAAACTCGCTGTTATAGAGCAAGCACCAAAAAGAATGAGAAAGTGTTTTGATATAAATAAGAATTGAAAGTACCTTACCGTGTGATGGCAAACCGTATGGTTTATTAATAGCAATAATATCACCTGAAACAGATCCAAATTTTATAAAATCATTAGCATACTTATATTTTCAAATATTACAACCTCAATGTAATAAATGTTTGACAAACGATTATAAAGAAAGACAACTTTTTGTGATAATGGATTAATTTTCACAGACATAAGAAAGTAAGCAAAGCCTTAATCATACCATTACAAAAAAAAATCTTTTAGAAACAGCCTCTGAGAGAAAAATTGATTTTGATAGGCTTAATGCAGGTAATATTTACCTGAATTAACTGGAAAGGGATTTGAAAATAAGGTTGGTCTTTTATCAAGAAAAAGAAAAGGTTAACATCACATTTTCCAAACTTACTGCTACAGATAGCTTGATTTGGATTCATCAGCAAATTTATCAACAAAATCCAATCTTGATTTCACAAGTTACCTTCATTATAAATAATATTTTTCTTGAGAATATCAACCACAATTCCTTCTGGTTCCTTCGTCAAATCTTGTGTTTGGTATTTCAATATTCTAAAGCCCTTACTATCTACCGGGCCATCAAATCTACTTTTAACTTTATTAGTTTCTTTTTCTTTATCTGAAATCACAAAATGTAAGAGAATAATACAGATGATATTTTTTTGTTTTTGTGAATCACCTGGTGGAGTGACATTGTTTGTGCAAATCGAAAGGTGTAAATGCCAAATATACTTGACATAGATCATGTAAAACAGCACAAAAGTTGCTTAACAGTTGTCTTTTATCAGATAATATGGTACTTGACATTTTATTGCCTTCATAAAATTTCCTAAAAAAAATTTTCATTTTGAAAAATCATTAAAATACCTCCAGATCCTAAATTCTTTATTTCAAGCTTCAATTTCTTCCTTATTTCCATTGCAGTATCATAAGCTGATTTTGATTTAGGTTTGTTTTCATTCTTTGAATCAGATGGTCCACCAGATTGTGTCTTATCCTGTTGTCCAAAGTACTGGTCATCTATGTAGTCCATATCTTTTCTATCATATTGCTTGGGTTCATAATCAGTTTCAGGAGAGTTATGTTTTTTCTTTTCAGAATTTCCAAAGTATTGCTTATCAATAAAATCTAAATCTCGTCGACTTTTAGTGCGATTCTGATTCAATTCAACGGAAGAAATTGCTCCAGAATCTTTATTTGCAACTTCTGCTCGGCTCTTAACATTAAAATATTGATCATCAATAAAGTCAGATCCGTATCTTGTTGATTCATTCCTAAAATTGTCATTATCATAACTGTTTTCTACTGATTTCTCAATGTTTGATTTTTTAAGTCTTTTTCTTTGACTTCCTTCATTTATGGATGATGGTCGGTTTTGATTTCTTTCAGGATAGAGTTTTGAATAGCCCCCAGGATCTAAATTGGATTTTGTAAAATCTGAGTTATAATCATACTGCTGTCTCTTTTCTTCAGTTTGTTTATCATAATTTCCTATTGTTTGTTTATCATATTTGTGTTTATTGTCTCTTGTCCTTTCAGCATACTCTTCAATGCCCAAGAAATCGTCGTTAGCTGAGTGACATCTACAACTTATTGAGATGTGCCGATTAAAATTCAACTCAGAAAAAGAACCTTTTGAAACGGTGTTCAGAATTCGAAGAAATTTGCAGTATTGTAATATTTTCGTCATTTTCACTCTTTCATGCCCTTCAACATGGGCGCAGCCATTTTGTAAAATTCTCGATCAACCAGCCTTTGAAATGTGTAGGCATAAGCCCGAAAACTCCACTCAAACTTTTGAAGCTTTCATGACTGAAATGATCACTTACAGTATAATCGCTAATATAATATCGATCAATATGTGTTCTAACATCGGGAAAACCGTCATCTACATTTTAATACAAATGTTATTCAAAACCTCTCAAGTAAATATAAAAATGTTTTCGCTGGGATAGAACTGTCAACCATAATAAGCCGAAATGTCTATTAACTTTGGCAGAACTTTTCCTCCACTTTGAAAAATGTATCGAATAACTTGTGAAAATCACGACGTTCCATCATAACGCCGACCATAATTTAATTTCAGAGGATATATATTTCAACGCTTTGTTTGAAATCTTTTAATTAAAATAGTGAAGCAAGGTTTCATTTTAAGTGAGTAAGTCGAGATAAGAAGGTTGAAAAGCCAAAGGGGGTACACTTTATGATGAATAAGTGGGACCGGCACCTAATATTTTACGAAGACGAACACCAGGGCAAGAGGTAGTTCTACAAGACCCGTCGACCCGTCGCGGATGGCCCGTCGTCCGCCGCAGAAGGTCCAAGAAAAAGGGCTGAAGCAAGCCTCACCAACTTCATGGGTCGAGCTTGGATAAACCTGCGCCTGGTAGAATCTGGGAACATCTGGGTTATTGAAACGGCTGTTAGCATCTGACGGAATATCTGATCGACGTGAACAGTTGCTATCGGTTACTTATGTGCTACTTTTTCAAGAAAAAATTAAGTTGCCAACAGTCTAATTAGTCGATAAAAGCACGTATAATTTAACCCGATGAAATGCCGGCAGCCGCCTTGACACCCCCACCGTTTTTAATCAATATATATTATGATACCTCTCAAATAAAGCTTAAATCTTTATGTACTTATTTACTTATTTTTAGGTTATCAGAAAATGTCATGATTTTCTGAAAAAAGTCAGCAGTTTATCAATTGGATGTAGAACAAAGGTCAGATAAGGCCATGGGAAGGTTTATAAGAGATCTGGTTTAAAGTTTCATTGTGTCTTGAAGTTCTGTCATTGACGTCAGGTAGGTCTTGCTTACCTGTTTTGATTACCTGATCGGCTGAAAAGGACAGATTGAAATACAACTACACATTATCAAATGCGGAGTCATATAAACTCCAATATACCAAGACGTCTATTTGCCATCATAAAGAGAAATTATCAGCAGAGGCAATAATGAGGAACTATAGAATTGTCGGGGAAATCTAGTCCAGAGGAATTCAGCTAACTTCAGGTTACTTAAATGGATGCAATCGTCTACCGTTTGCCAGCTGAATAAGATTAATTGGTGTCGCTTTAAGATTGAAAAACCGGTAACATAGGCGGAAGTGCTGATTGTTGAAGTTGCCACATAAATAGAAATTTCACCTTTGCGGATATTTATCTTGATAAATGCAAATGTGAATTAGCACGCTATTGACAAACCTATTGCATTTTTCTATTGCAAACGAGCCAAATGTTGGATTTTCAATCTGAAATGTGATTAATATGTGAGGTCGAGCTATATAGCAACTCAGAGAGCAACATATTCAGACGATATCCTCACATTGTCACTTCATTTTAGCAACATATAGAAAAGTTCGAAAGCGTAGGACTGCCTGTAGCCTATTTTTTTGCCCCAATTTTATCCACACTATAAAATGACTGAAACCTATTTATTTCTCCACTTAGATTCAAGAAGATGAACGCCTTTCTCTTGTTGACCCTTGTGGCTGGGTAAGTGCAAAATCAACTAATGATTCTTCTCTGCAGTTTGCTTTTTATATCTGTATTCATTTATTTTGGTAATCGGCTGAAGAATATCAACAGCTCGAGATTTTGGCTTAGGTAGAAGCAAAACGTCGAAATTCCGGTTTGAAGCTTTCGTGATCAACACCATGGAATAAATATATTAATTGGATGAACGAAACACAATTGATTGAAAATCATGCTGCATAAACTTTGCTAAAATTATTCGGTTAAATTTATAGTAGATCCCAATTCTATTCAACTTGTTTGTTCCAGTGCATTTGCTGCATCATGCAGACACGACGACCACACAACATGGACTGAGACCCAAGTCATTGACTTGGTAACTTCTCACATGAACAGGGATGGCGATAACGTCATCAGTGAACTCAACATTGGTATTGAATTCGTCTTGAAGTACGACCATAACTGTGAGTAGTCCACAAAGTATCGTATTCATACGTCACAAGCCTATTCAGGAACGAAAAACAGTTCAGAAGGGTTCCAACAGTTCAAGTCCCCAGATTATAGCTCTAAGTCTATGCATCCGCTTTTCTGCTACAGATAGCGCCAATGACGGTCAGCCATACGTGTGTTACGGGAAACACTTTGACAAAACAGTGGGCACGACCTTCTTCTTTGCGATTTCCAACTGGCAGAGCATCTACACATCGAGTTCAATTAGCAACGGTTCGATGATTATCCACCATCGTATCGTTGCTTTAGGAACATGGTAGCACATGGGCCCTTTTTGTCTTTTCCACAAAAATGATGATTCCATTGGTGATTGTTACTGTCAATCATAATTCATTCTGTAAATTCTTTTCAGTCAGAAATGGTGTGGAATTACACGAATTCACCAAACAATGGGTTAAGACTTACCATGATGAAGTAGCCCTAGCTACCCACATCTTCCAGCATTTAGATATGGATTCTTCTGGTAGTTTGGATACTGATGATATTGCTCCCCTTATCGCTAGAGTTGATACTAGTGGTAAGTGATCGTGCTTCTAAAGTTTTGCGGGAAACCGGAGTCAAATGAAGCTTATCGAAGACAAACAACTGGTCATGTTGGTATCTAGACGAGGACCGGATATCAAATAATATGATCATATTTTTCCTGTCAAAGGTTTTGTTTTGCACCAGTTTGTGTGACACAGAATGAACACGTTATGAAGCGTGCAAGATTTGCGATATCTCAAAATATCGGTATTTTTCATCTGAGGAACTGTGTAGGGCGAGGGTTGTTGGGCTACCACTTAAATGGAACATGTCTTCATGGGATCATTGGTGAATGTAGTCATAAGGCTTGGTAAATTACGAATAATTTTTATGTCTTTTAAACAGGCGATGGTTTAGTTCAAGTCAATGAATTCAAAGCTTACCTCAAGGCCGTAAGTTCTTTTAGCTGTTGGGATCCAGTTCGGGTTAAAAAAAAAAGCGAGAGGATGTGCCGCTCGCCCGCTCTATGCTGAATAGTTTGTTATGAGGGAAAGTTTTCCGAGGAATGCAGTATAGAATGTCGGATCTGCATCACTGACAGAAAGCCACTGGGTTTAAATTCCGATTTCACCACGACCTATAGTGGGATAGAACCTTCGACATTCAGGGTAGTGAGCGAGCGCCAATTTCGACGAGCATCTCATAATATTGATCTTTACCAGCACGGGGACAATGTTGTAGGGTTTAGATGATTATTAAACCTCATTGCTTCTGAACAATCTGGATGGCAAACGCGGGAGATACATGTATATGTGGCATTTATTTACTTCTCTTCTTTATTTTCAGATTTACAATGCCTGTTAAATAAATTATTAACCAGGGAATCTTTTTTAAAATTTGGTCCCTGTCTGATGTAAATGTTCTTTTATTGTTTGAATCTGCAACACCTTGATATAGATATAGATAGAACTGTAAAATCTTCCTAAACAACTAGAACATTTATCAGACCACTTTATGATGGCATCAATCTGCTGGTAGATGATCTCTGCGTTTCCATACATCTAGGGAGAGGCATGAATATTCTGGCAAGGCAATACTGTACATTCTAGTCACTGAACACTGAAAAGCAGTTAATGGAAATTCAGCCAGACAAAGGCTTTCACTCTGAAATTGGTGGGGACTGACCAACAGAGTTGTGGACAGATCTACATAGCAGCATATAAACCCTATGAAGGTAACAAATATAGAAATGTCCCCATCTAAAAGATCAAATATTAAAAACAACAAAATATTTAATAAGCTCAGCTTTATTGATTGGGCTTATCAAGTTATTACATTAATATGAGGTTAACATGAAATTAAGAGTGTGGTCTATAATTTTATTGAAGCATCAAACATATAGTATATAACAGATACTTATATTTATGCCTATTTTAAAATTAAATTAATTGTAGGGTGCTAAAGACTATGTATATTCACTTGAAACATAATCTATATATCATTTATACACGTCAATTACTTTCAACAAAAATAAATTAACAAGGTAAATAAAATATACAGCTATTAAAAATTAAAAAAATGGATCAAAAAAAATAAACAAAAACAAAAGACAGTTGGCGTACATTAAATGATTGTGATAGAATTGATGACCTTTTATACAGGACAAGTGCTGGGTATCGCAAATCATGTCACAATACAATACATATTGTTAGTGTGTGTCATGATACAATACATATAGCGATTTTGGGCAATGGGATAAAAATATATTATCTTAAAAGTTTATAACTGTGATTTGGTAATGTAGTTGATACGAGTGGTTAACATCCATTGTCTTATAATTTCCAACAATTTCAGTCAAGTCAGTGAAATAAAGAATTATGATTCCATTCACCAAATTATAAAAGTAAGTATCCATACACAACCTGGCATGTCATATTGCAATACATTGCTTCACCGATATATTGTGCCAGCACTATAAAGGACCAGCCTTTTTTGAATAAATATGTTATATTCTTTTATTGAAAAAGAGCACTCATTAGATGCACAGTTTGTGCTAACATGACTTTTCTTAATACACTGTAATACCAAGATTGTGTAAAAAGTATCTGTGAGCATCACATATGAGACTACAATTTCAGAGGTGAAAAGGTGATTCTATCACATAAGAAATGATAGATCACAAATACAATGCAATATTACGAAAAAAAAAAAACCAATTTACATGAGTTGTCATCACATCATATGGACCAAAATTTTTGAAGCTGTATCTAATGTTGACAAGTGGGTTGAATCACAATTTATTTTTAACAAAAAGATAAGAATAAGCTAATATAACAATAAAAAAATGCAATTTGTAAATACATTGTTATTGATTAACACCTGATATCATTAGGGACATTATATAAAGGTATATTATACCAGAAGATAATAACAAAACAACAAAATTTGATTTGTAGCCTACATATAGCTTCTTTTGCAAAAATATATTTCAATTTCTATTTCTTTTATCAGAATTCATTCAAAACAGACTAGATTTATAGGGCAAAATTGTCATTATTCAAAATTTAAACTAACCTAATTTTTTCGGTAAAATATATCAGTATTTATGACCATATTAAACTATGTATGGTTCTTACATGGTAATAATACACACAAATAGTTCACAGCCATTTTGAATCTCTTCCTCGACTTGTATCAAAAAGTTGAATTTAATATTTCAACTTAATCTTCAAATCACATTTAAAGGTTAAAGAATGGTTAAAATGTGACTTGAAGGCTTTTTTGAAACATTGTATCCTTTTCAAAATTAGACTTATGTTAAGGAAGAGATTCAAAATTGTTATTTAAGAACCATACATAGTTTCGTATGTGCTTATAACACTTAAATATTTTAATATACTAACACCTACATTGTGTGTACAACAAAAAATAAGCATAGATATACTCTCAACGTCAAAGTTGTTCAAATACCACTCCTTTTTGGAGTAACTTTTAGTTAAACTATATAACAGTCCTATATCTCAAGCTAATCATCGGTTCACATGTTCAATATGATTTGTGAACAGTTAAAGCTAAAGAATATTATAAAATTAATTTTGATCTAATCAGGGCTGATTACCATCCCATTTCAAAATATATTGAGATCAACATGGTAGCCACAATAAATGAGACAGGGCAGGCAAATAAACAGCCCCAGACCATGTTTCTCAAAACTCTTGTCTTATGGCAGGTGTGAAAATGTACACACTTGCAAGAAAATCATATCATAAGATTTCTTTTGAGAGACTAGGGCCTAATCTAACCCTGAAAACATTCTCATTTACTTTTACCATGTCTGAAAGCCCTTTCCCGTTCAGTAACATCAATAGAAGCTATATTCTGGCAAGCTACTACAAGATGAACTCCACTGATAACCATTTTGGCAAAGGCTATTGGTGCCGTTATACATAAGATCAATGTCCATAAACCAATAGATAGAGGTCCCAAAGGTACTGAAAAATACAGAATTGAAAATAAATTAAATTTATGATCAATTTTTAACATGGTTACAGTATCCAAATAGATACGAAGTTACAAAGATTAGCAAAAATCTAAACAGGTACAAAAGGGTACTTTGATGCACCATTCTGATATTTCATACAGGTTTTATTTTCATTTAGGGTATTCAAAATTTCACATTTTCCTGAATGTTAAAAATTGTCTTCAAAATGAAAAAAATGTTGGTAAAAGTGGTCATTTCCCCATTTTCCTCTATTATTGTTCTGTAAATTGTCATAATAACATTACAGAACATAATCTTTCAATGGCATATTAGATGCACAGTTATAAATAAGGTAATTATCATTGCTAAAAACTTCTACAATACATGTATTTATTACTTTCAACATTTCAATGTAGTTACTTACAGACTGGTCCAATAGTAAAGTAACGTAGATACAGCAAGCAAAAGAACAACTCATTAGCAGCACAAAACACAAATAGTAGTTGCTGAAAAAAGATTTACAGATTCAGTTGACATATTTTATTGTCAATTTGTTATGCTTTCACTTCCTTGAAATCTTGGCCCACTGGTAAAGTTTGATCTGATCTACCTATTGATCTATTGCCCAATCTCTTTCATCTTTCCTAGAGTATCTGTACCCATTTACAGCTGAGACGACTGGAATAATGGGATAGGATGACACACACAGAACAAGATTAGAACTAGAACCCAGGACATTTGTAACGTCAGGCAAATGATATAAAGATTCCAACACCCACAGTCTATTCTCAAAGCCAGGAAAATGATGCATTAGTGTGATTTTATGAATAAAAAAAAGTACTGGTATGCATATAAAATTAAGAAAGGACTTTACTATCTCTGATAAAAATCCTGCACATGCACTTACCCTGTTGGTATAGTAATGTCTCAATATAAAATTCTCAGATAGATCTATATGTTTATGATTCTCTTTACCAATCATAAGAGAGCTGAAATAAAATCAATCTTGAAATACAAATCAAATTTGAACCAGATAGGTATCCTAGATGCTCATATTAATTATTCTCATCCTCAGATTGACCAATCACTAAATTGTTTTTAAATATAGTTGTATAAACCAATCTATTTTTGATGAAACAAGCAAATTGCTCTCAAATTCAAACTACCAATAAATTGAACGGCAGCAGCAGATTTTACTGAGCCTGTTCGCCTGTTAAGTTTTATTGAAGTGAAAAATATCTTACCTATGAAGATGAATCCAGTGACTAAAGATATCTAAAGCCATACTGAATTGAAAGAATATGATGTACTTGGGGTAGAAATAACATAGTACACCACACAAACACATAGTACTAATACGGTCTGTTAACTGATCTAACATAGCTCCTAGTTTACTCGCTGTAATAAATATCAATTACTATACTTTATTACTAAAATAACAATATATGCATGAATATTTATTTAACTCTTACAATTTTGTGCACTTCTTTTAACAAGATAATGACAAAAACTTTCAATTTATTCCAGAAAGTAGTAAAACTGTCGTTAATCAAATACTGACTTATTCAATTATTTCTTTTTTCACAGCATCAAAAAATATTCAAAATAAATTCTGCTTCATGGACAAAATAATTAGTAGAAATATGACCAGGAATATTATAGTTAACTGCTTATAGGGTAATTGTGCTAGGCTAGTTCAGGCCCGTAGCTACTGGTGGGGGGGGTTGGGGGACTGAAAAAATGGTTTGCCCCTCTGAGAAAATTCTCACAACCGACAAATTTCATAACTGCCACTAAACACCATATCCCATTGCTTCTCTGGATATATATATTATTATATGCACCCCCGAACAATCAAGTCTGGCTACCGGCCTAGGCTAGTTATCATACTTACTCTGATTCAGCATTCTAGCAAAATGACCATCAAATGCATCAAGAAAACCACTTAATAAGTAAAAGAATGCAGCTCGGTAATGGTCAAATGGCATGTAGTAAAATGATACAAATGCACATATTATTCTGAAATAATCTTAAAGTAGATAAGGAAGTTATTCATTTCATCATTCATGTGATAAGTGTAGATCTACTTCTACAAAATATGGGTTTTATTTACCCTTTATCTTTTAGACTAGTGTCTGCTAATAATTTTGTAAATTCCAGATTTAGACTCAACTAAATAGTAATAGGCTGGAACACTTATTCTCTGGTGTCTTTGGGAATAAAAAGGAGTATCATCATGATGTCATTGACATTGGTGATGTGGAAGTTGAAAATGATTTTTTTCCTAATTTCTTACCAGTTACCATGCAAAAATTTACATTTTGATATATAATAATATCTACAAGTCAATGTAAAACTACCTATGATATTTGGTACAAACAAAAATACGTTTTCAGTCATCTTTAATGGCTTTATCTGCAAAAAGGTAGATGAAGACTTATTATGATTTTCCTCTCAAATCAATAACAAGTCCAGATTATCCAGAACCGAAGCGCATTTTTTTGGACTCAGTATAATGGAGTAATTCGGGTGGGATACTTTTACATCTCAACAATCTGAATGGAAAACGATAGAAATATAGTCAAAATGATTTTTCCGATTCTTGGAAGTTTAGAATGCGATCTACTAAGGTCTAATCAATGCATACTTTCAAGTTTTTAGTCTCACTAGCCTAAACCCTTCACAAAAAAGAAAAATAGGAACTAAGGCACAGATATCTATAAGTTTATTTCATGAGTTGTTTTAAGAAATTTTGTCTGCAATGTGAAGAAGCTGTCATCTTTAATTACTCTATAAACTATAAACGTCTGTAGTTCTTGCAATTCCAGTAAAACTGAGGTAGTTCTACACAATTGGTAAAACTAGAAAGAAGATATTTTTTTACCGAAAGAATTTTCCATATGATTAATTCTCGAACATTTAGTCCGATATGGAACTGAATGTCGAACCCCTTGTTGAAGTCCACAGAAAAGAAATATAGGTACTAGGCTAAAGCACAGATTTTATAAATTTATATTGTAAGTCGATATTGGTATTCGTTTGCAAATGAGTGAATGGGGCGCCATTTAAATTACTACACGCCCAAAACGTTTTCAGTGTTTATCGAGGCGTGAAAGCCGAAATCATTGGGCGCCACCTTGTGGGCATTTCGCTTGCCTGGAGACGGTCCCAAAATGGATGCTTAACGAGATGGAAGAATGTGGACCGGTTGAATGTGATAAATACGCATTCTTACTAGGATCTGCCCTTCGAAATTCGGATCAAGAAAATTTTTTCACTGTCTATGATTCAATATTACCCCAAAATATCCCGAAATCACAAGTAAGTAGCTTGACATAAGTTCTACGAAGTTGGTAACTATCAAAACTTTTGATGTGTTTTGTTTTGAAATTGACCCGTCTTGACCCGCAAATTTTTAAGGCGTGTTTAAAATTGCTCCTAGGTAATGTCTCTAGACATATTTGGTTGATTTTAGAATAGTTCATGGTCAAAAATCTTAGTCATAAATTTAAAAAAAAACCTTATGTTGAAACAATATATATTTTTTTTCAAAATATTCAGTGTGATTATTGGAGTTATCTTCTCTTAATACAATAAGTACTTCCGGGTAATATTTTCTGACGTCCAGACGTTTTAGAAAAATGTGCGTGTGTTTGGGTCTGGATGTCCATGTCGAAGGCTGATGTTAACCATGACCTTGGCCTTGCATATTTGCATACATTTATTAATCATTTCTCGACCGACACTGTAGCTAGCCGCGTTGTACTTTATGACGTGTCTTGCTTCTCTTTTTGGCTATTATTCGACATATCCCATTCTTCAACCAATCTATGATTGTCAGAAGCCATTTTCTGATGCCCAACCCAAAATTATAGCTGAAACATGGTGGAAAATGAAAGAAATTAGAAGTACAGGTAGGCCTGCTGGTGTATAGCATACGTCCTTCACTCTCGGTCTACCATTACAATCACACTACATCGTGTCCTAAAATGGAGAAAACACAGAGCACACACCCCTATAGAGATTACAAATAGTTTAAAGCTGATCACTTTAATCTAACACAATAATAAGGTTACTGTGGGAAAGACCTTTTTCTGACAGTGATGACTGGCAACATTTTGATCTAAAATTAATTGAATTGTTTTTATGGTTTGAATATTGCAGCATAGACATCATAATATTTACAGCATAGGCTGTGTTCATCATGACATATTTCGCAGAGGGAAATAATAATTCTATCCTTTCATTCCTATCAATCTTATTCTTTTCATTTGGTTTGACAGATTTAGGGTCAGTACTCACAAATAACAGGGAACACTGATATGTCGGCATCAAATTTTTTCATTCATTTCACAAATAATCCAAAATCCAATTTGTAATTACATGTCATATGTTTTTTGTCTTGCAATGCATTGAAACCCTTTTAATGTAAGCTTAAGGATTGGTTATTCAACATTTGAAATAAATTCTCTTCTAGATTTGGTCGAACAGTTGTTTTCTTTTCTATAAACAATTTCAGCAATAACATAACATTACTTATTATAAATGTCATTTTTACTATTGACCAAGAAGTTTCAAAACTTATTAGGATTTACTGATGCATGTCCTTCTATATTTTATCATTTTTCAGAGAATGTCTTGATTTAGGCCTGTAAATATTTGGTTTACTATGTCATATTATAGACCAGATATGATTTTTCTGCTTATCATATATAAGCTTATCTCTACTTTAATGTAAAAATGTGATGCCTGATAGGTCAAAGATTTTATTTCTGGTATTTTATTAAAGGTGTGGTCCATAAATATATGGATAGTACAAACAACAAACAATAAACAAATTTTTTCATTCTCTACCTTTATCTCCATGAGCGTGGCTTGGACCAGCTTTCTTAGTAATGTTCATGTTCTGAATTAGATCTGGCTATAGAAAGTAGAATTCAGATTTCTATAAGATTATAATTTGATGTCCGTTTTAGTGAACCTGGGACACCAATTTGTGAAGTATTATGGCTGACTTCACTATTTGAAAAATTAAATTTTTTTTCTGCTATTGAAGGATCTGGGCCTTGTTGTGTTGCATGTATGCAAGCATTACAAGTTTCATTTGCATCCACATCCTGTAAATTCTTATTACACCCACTTAAATAGTTAAACATCCATAAAATCTCTATTAGTCTATTCTATTTGAATTGCCTTAATTCCGATATGTTGTCTACCACGTAGATGTTTATGGCAAGGGATAGAGAATTTGAACAGATGAAAATCAGAAAAGACTTGAATGCTGCTAAACATTGTTGATTATCATTTCATTGAATGGGTTATGAAAAGGTTTCTAGCTTCTAAAGTGTACATTTGCTTTATTCTAATTTTGTGTTGGATGTGAGTGGTATATACATAATTTTAGAAATGCTTGATTGCAATGCATGCGACGTCATTATCACTCTGTGCTGATAATAGTATGTCAGGGCCTTTGTACGCATAAAACGCTTATGGTAGTGGGATTGTGAAGACTACATATGTCTGGCTGAAAGGTAATGGTGCAAATTGATGCTATCTGTGTTCCCAATGCACACCAAAGGTTGAAAATTCCTTTAAGCTCCATTTTATTCCAATTTGAATGCAATTCAACAAGACTGATTTTTAGTTTAGAGTATCAGTCAACCTTGTGTAAAGCAGTGAGTAAATTTACTAGTAAGACTTGTAAAAGTCAAACTAGAATTAGGTCACCTTATACCTAATGTTACCATAATAGACATAAAAGCTTAAAACCAGTTAATTTCATTGGTTAAACCATAGGTTAAAGTTCAAATCATTTGTATGTAGGTGTAGAAAAAGAGTAAATATATGAATAAGCCATTGAAATGTAACCTCTTTGCTCTTTTTTACTTGACAATATTGTTGTGAAATTTTTATTATACTGAGATATTATTTTAGAAAGTGAAGCTTCTCCTTTTGTTTTAAATAGATTTTATAATTTCTCTTGTTTCAAATGGTTCATCCTACAAAGCTACAAAGTTGAATATTTTATGTTTTTAGTTGACCTGTTCCAATAAGACTTGATTTTTACAATAATGTAGGTGGATAATGTTTTGTTACCCATTTGAGTAATTTTTTTTTTTTCAATGTAGGAGAAAAAGGGATAATTACTTCTTATCTGTTCTGAAATTAGATTGCTTTATAAGTATCCAGCTCCAAACAGAATAAAAAAATCTCTGAAAGCCAATCTGGGTTGACTTTCACATCCGAATCATGATATAGTTTTTAGAGACAAAGTGAAATATACAAAATAAACCATAGAATTCGTGAATTGTAACACCTTTAATATACTGAAATGCACTACCACAACATTGTTTTGATGGAATAGATATGACCAATTGAGGATTTGAAATTGAATTGCATGATGATATATCACTGATTTGGTTTTGCATGGAGATTTCCATTGACATGATGGGATACATCAGAATTGCTGTGATAATTTCGTCGTTTAATTTAACATGGTTACCTTTTAAATAAGTTATATCCTTTCTACTTTCAGTTGCATTGGATAAAAGAGAGAGCTCGTTTTATTGCTGAGTTGCCAGAAGGAGAGTTTAATGAGTGGGTGGTAGATGCCCGGTCGTTTAGTTTAGCACCGGGAAAATCTAAGATGAGTAGATCTAAACCTACTAGAGTTACTGCTACTGTCAGTGTGGGTGCCTTGAGTGATGATGATGATGAGACTTCAGGTCCTTATCACTCAATGTCATCATCATCACGATTACACAAGCACGGTAGTCTAACTGATTCTGGAAGACCAGCAACCGTTAGCCGAAAAAACAGTTTATCATCAGAAATGAGTGAGGAGGCTCGTGGAGCCTATGATTATTATCCCAAGCGTAGTGATTCTGTCATTGATTCTGTCAAAATTCAGGATGTAACATCTCCCGAATATGACGAAGCCATAGATGTGGAATCTGACAAAAGTTCTGTGGAATCACCTCGAAGTGAAGATTCTGGAAAGGGTGAATATAATGTTACCCAACTAGATGAGTATGGAATCGAATTAAAAACATTTCACAGGCAAGGTTATCATGCCAGTGACGAGGATAGCGATGGAAACTGTCATCCACATAAAAAATTATACGGTTCTCGTAGCCAGGCACAATATGGCTACAAGCGTCCGGAAGAGGATAAAGAAGAGTATGAGAGGGCCACTAGTTTTGACCAGTCGTCTCAAATCTTTCCCAGATTCGAAGTTGATAAGAATCGTAAAGTAACTGCTGTAGATGCCGGTACATCGTTTCCCTTGTCCCGTACAGAACCATCTTTAAGTAAATCATACAGCACTGGTTCAAGAACAGAAGAATGGAACTTGAAACAGAAGAGATCCAGAGCTATAGGTAAGTTGTCTTTTATTTTGTCTTGAAATAAAATCTTTGAACTGTTTTGTCTTCTTTTTTGCCCTTTTTTTTTTCTCTACATTAAATCTTGGCTAGTTAAGAAGATACCTTATCCTTAGAAGAGTGTTTGAATTCTGCTTTTAAGATGGTTCTAGATTTTACGTGCAAACGTTTTTAAATTCTTTGCAAATGAGACCTTACATGAACTAATTTGACAAAGAAAACCATTCCACTTGTTGAATTACATAATGACATTCTTTCACTTCAGCAGACATACTTAAAAAAGATATAAATTTGAAAATTTTATTTAAATTTCTTTACGATTATTGTTATCATTAAAGTTAAAGGGAGGTAATTCAAAATAATTTACCCCTTCATTCTTTAGTCAATTGTCATTTGCTCTGAATTGTGATACAGGAGTTGATTTTGTAAAATTCTAATTTTCACTTTTATACAAGACTTACCTTTTGTCCTAGACAGGATATAAAAAACAAAACTATGTTCATTGAAAGAGTTCTGTTAAATATCATTTATTGGTAGGTCGCATGTTGGATATGGTGTACGGTCCATCTACGAATAAATCATTTTCACAACCTCATTATTCAGATTGCGTCCTACAAAGTAAGGTTCATGTTTTTTGTCCAAATATAATCCATCCATAACAAACTATAATACAATGCTAATGAACATGGATTTTTACTGAACAAATTGTCCCTATACTATTTGGTGAGAAAAGTATTTTGACTAATGTCAATTTTTGAAACTCACAACCTTATTTCTTCATGGTTAGGCATTTTTGCTTATTTTATATCAGGTCTTTGATAAACATATATCGAAATTTAGTAAATTACTCCAATACATTTTGGTTCAAGACCGAATTTGGAAATAAACAATAAGCCATTATTGTTGAAAATTTGGAAAATTTAATGATCAGTCAAAATCCAAGGAAAAAAAGATATATTAAAGTACACATTAGTCATCTCTCAATTCATTCCTATATTCATACCATCATATCTTGAATACGGGTTTTGACACAGTCTTTTTAACCCGTATTTAACATTAGACTAAGTTTTGTGGGTTCTGAAATGAGATTGTGTTATTTATGGTTAAGTTAGAACAGAAATGAAGAAAGGTCATGTAAACAAAACACATCTACAGTTATTTTCTGTCAGCTTCAATTCTTTAACGAAACTCTTACGTAATTCTGTATTGTCCATTAATCAAAACTTTTAAGTGTCACGCTGCTTTTGTTTTGTTGACGTTTTCGAACGAAGCATATTTCACTAGTGATTTGATTGGCTGAGAGTTCCTAGAAAGATTTCAAGGCCAATTTTGATTGGAAAATATTTAGCTGTGAATATAAAATTTCCCTGACCAGAATTACAATGGACTCGAAGTATGAGGAATTGGGGTGTGCATTGGACACGATAATATTCACACCTTTAAAAATTTCACACCTTTGACTAATATTCCAATAGACCATCATAAATGGACAACATGACTGCAAATTGATATATAGGTCATGATTGATGAAAGTGATTATTTGATGTACCTTGCACGGGAGGTTATGTTTTTGAACTTTTATGAATAAAGATGTTTCCTGATAGTTTGATTTTGTGTATCATATTTGTCATGTTGCTGCTAACAATTATCAAGTGTTTTTATTGGTTAGAAATGCACACTATGAGGATTGAAGAAAGTTACTCTAAAGTGGATGTATCTGACAGGTCTGCTATTGGTCTTGATTAAATAGATATCTTATTGATTGTAGTTAAAGTAAAGACATGTTGAGTTGTAGTGAAGTACTAATAAATAATTAATTAGTACTAATGAAAGAACTTGTTAATGACTAGTTTAAGCAATTCTGAACAAAACTATTTCAAATGTCTTTTTCACATTTTCTTGAAAATCAGAGTCTGCTCTACCCCAGGCAATAACTTACAAAATATCTTGTATTCTTGAATAGAGGTAGAGCCAGATGTTTTGGACAGGTCCTCGTTTTTTGTAGCAGGGCAGGAAACAAATGTATAACTCTACATGGTCTATGGTTTAATAAACCTTGTTGGTTATGTCTTCCAATCTTAGGTAGTTTGAAATCAGAATATGAATGGTATGATTGAATCAGTGTGTTGTAATGCTATTGATTTCTCTCTATGTGAATTATGTTGTCACGTTGATAGGATGAAGTCTGCTAATATTCCGTTCTTGATCTATCGATGTGGAAGAGGAGACTACACAATCTAGATTCCCAACAGGTTAATGTCAACTTCCTTCGTAAACTGTAAGGCAATATTTTCAATTACTTTCAATCAGTATTCTGTTGTTGTTGCATTATAAGAAACCGCATTGGCGCATTAATTTAGACACTTGCTCTCTAGCCTAGTCAAGGTTTCACGCCTGGCATGGGAGGAGATAATACTTTCTGATTTTTCAACCTGGTTTACCGTTCACTGATGCAAGTTGGAAAGGCTGAAATGGAAATATGCTAATTTTCCCATGTGCTACAAATTGTTCACGTGAACAGATGGAAATCGAAAATACAAAGGCAAATACCACTTTCCTGGTATAATTTCCATAATTGTACACTGCTAAGTGTTGCCCATTTTCATTAGCCTCAACCAGTGCAAAAAAGTAAAAGAGAATTTTGATGTGTTAAAATGGAAATTCGTACTCGTAGTCCAAAGACCTAAAAAACGAAAAAACTGATACTTTAATTCTTACACTGAAATTATGAAAGTGATTTCTTTCTGTCCTATAATAAGATAGTAGTCAATTGATTAAAGAGTCAGTTACATCCATCAGTCTCATTGATTGAATTAATCTTAAAATCAGGAATTTTTTTCTTAAAATAGAGTTCTCTATTTAGTTTCTCCAGGTTTTCTATCATTAAAAGAGTTGCAGGAATACATTGGAAGAGATAACAAGTTTCAGCATGAAAAGATTAATTATTCAGCATTTGTAGTGAGAAGTTGTTAATATTCTTCTTGCCTTCATAAAACAGACATTGAAGATGTAGAGAAATTTATGTACTTGTAGACTGGAACCACATTAATGTGCATGCTGTGTTTGCAAGTGATGATCCCATTTCATTTGTTTGCTTTTACTATGAAAAGAATTATGCAGGTGTGCTTCCAGTAATAACATTTTGTTAACTTAATGTCCATACTGTTACCTTTCATTTTTCTTTGCATCAGCTACAATCTGAGGGGCAAGATCCAGCCAACATGGTATGGTATCATAAAAATGGAATTTCAAGAGCTTTTTTTCACACTCTCTTTCCCCAGTCAGATTTTACCAAATAGTTTTGTGATAAGTGGAACATCAGCTCTCAAAATAACATTGTTAGTGACACACTTTATCATTATGAAATTATTTTTAAAAAGTAAAATTTTCTGCATAAATTTACATATGTGCATAGCATTTTTTTTATGCTGAATTTCATCTGACATATGTGATATATATATTTTTGTATTTCCTTGAGAGTTAAGATCAGAGTAAGGCAATTCGAGAATTGGAATTACAGGAACTTCATACATCTGTTAGTATTTCTTAAGCCCTGGGCACATGTTTTACCTCTTATACTGGGGGCAGACGAGCAAATTTAAAAATTGCTTGAAAAATCCGCTTTTCACTTGTTGACAGTGGTTTTTTATGCCTGCACAAATCGCAGAATGGCTATGTGTGCCCTTTTGTGATTGGTCGATAAAATATGCTTGTCTACCCCCAGCGTTACACTAATCAGTGTAAAAGCTGACAAAATATTGAAATTTGTAAAGTTCTCTTTAAACACACATGTTGCCATTTATTCTAACCATGTATTATTGATACCATCTAGTAATATAATTAAAACTTCATTATACTCCCACCCATCAACATATATTATTTACTGATCAATTTACATTTCAACTCCCAAATATTCCAAAATGTTCTTATACTGAATTTTGTGAACCGTATTAATTATTCTGAATATTAATAGTAAAGCATATTTTGAATTCAGATATGTCAAAGGGATATTGTTGTTAAGATATTTGCATTATTAGCAGATAACTGCAAGGTAATTGCACGCAAGATTTTTTTTACTGAAAAGTGATACAGATAACTGTGATTGAGCTCTATCAGTTTAAAAAGCTGAAATTTACAATAACATCCATTTTAGATCATTGAAGTCGTTGTACTTATTTTCTGTGCATTTGGAGCTGTTAGGTATTGAATTGTAGAGTTTGTTGAATGGTTGTTAATGAAATATGGTAAGATTATAAGAGATCTATCTATTAAACAATAGGAACTGCAGCTTCAATTCAGTTCAAACGCACTGAGGTCATAGCTTCTGCTTCTAAGGGTCCAAAAATCAAACCACATTAATTATGCAAATGTTTTAAGCTTGCAATTAAGATTTTCAGATGAATGAATAATGATGTCCTATTGCTGCGTAAAAGTTGTCAAATTACTACACAATATTTTTGATGTTTATTCTGTATAATATAATATAAGCAATATTTTTGTATGTGTCACCAGCTGTTGTCGAGGAATGAATGTTTCAAACCTTGTACAATTGATATATGTACAATTGATATATAGAGTCAGCAAATGTGAAAGGGTGTGTTTTAATTGATGCTCTGCGGATGTGAAAAAGTTATTGTGATTGGTCCTTGCCTCTGTGCAGCCTTCTGTCACTGTGAAATTGGATACTGAAAAAGGCTTGGCATTACTTCAAAGAAATGTTGACACTGTTATTCAGATCAGTTTTGTTGAAACTTAAAATCTTGTCCAAAGTATGACCAAATCGAGAGTAAAAGTTGTATTGTAGTGGACTCCTCCAAAGAGAAGTACCATCAGGTGTTTTAAAAAGAGTAAGCGTGGTCTGCTTTGTGTGAATATAGTCTGATCATTTTGCTGTGACATAGTGATAGTGTTCATCAAACCTTTGTGAACTATTTAATTGTATTATTAATTTCTGGATATAGTCTTGATAAGTACATGATTTATATTTTAGGGCATGCTATCTCGACCCGCGTCACATGTTAGTCATTGACCCTGAAATACTCTTGTCTGATGCAACATTGCTTGTAGTATATACTTAAAGTAAATGTGCGTTATTCAAAAATCTTCAATAATTTTTTTTTAAAAGGGTATTTGGTTTGATTTGAACATTTACTATATATTTTGTTAGTAAAACAAAATGAATCATTTATGGATTATTTAGACTATGGACCCCAACTGTTCACTATTTACATTGTGTTTGATAAATAAAAAAAAAACTGAACACAAATAAACAAAAACTCTTAGTGGTAGCTTAAAGATACATGTATTTGTGACTGCTTTGATTAAAACAAAACATGTTGATAAAGCCATTGTTCAGTGTGAGAAGCCATTTTGAAATTGTATAACATTAATTCAAGACCATAATCTGTGTTGATAAAGAGTCACAATTTTAGAGATAAAATTTTCTTCTTAGGACCTTGAACATAGTGATTTCTCTACCCGTCTTTCTCTACCCTTATCAGTGATATAGCAAATTAAAGATTTTGATATAGAGGATATAAGGTGTACCCAAAGCTAGTTTCAAAGTGATTGAGTGCAGAACTTGAATGACATTGTGATTGAAAATAAGTGATATTTGAAATTGATATTTGTGAACATGTGATTTTGAATCGTTGAACTA